TCAAAGAGATGGTAGAAGGAATTCCCCCTTACATGCTGTATTGCACATGGTGAGCCTCCCAAGAGATGCTCAGATGTCTGGCTCTCATTTGCTAACGGGTGGGGGGAGGGATGGTTGATTCTCAGCCCGAGTATGCTCACTGCCATATATCAGGGAAGCAAGCTGGTTGCTTGGTTTCCCAGCACCCGAAATTCCAGTATGGCACAGATCTCGGAAGACGCTGGGTGGTTCTCGCCCTGGGCTGGCTGTAGTTTGCGCTAGCCACGGCCACTTAACAGGGAGGCGAGCTAGCTGGTTGCTTGGTTGCCCATGAAATTTCTAACATCTAATTTTCAAAAGTTATTCTGTCCTCTTAGGCCCAATTGCTTTATATGATTTGTTCTTGAAAATGCTTTTTTAAAAATGTGATGAATTAAAAAATATTTGTAGATGTTCATAATTTATATGATCTGGAAGACAATTTATTTGTGCAACTTCACATAGCTTTCTTAGTTGTTACGGAAGAGGATATTCCATTTGTGTCTGTGATAGATCATTGCAGATTTATTTGTTTTTTGTAAGACATGTTTACACATGACTAAATTACCCAAACAGCACTGCTAGGGGGGATATGGCTGAGTCTAAGGGTGACATGACTGGGAATCTTGTCCTTATTTATATCCAAACATGTAGTGTATGTGTGGTATAAAGCGTTATTCTGGAAGTTTTGCATGTTTCTTCATTTAATCTTCCCAAAGCCTGATGAAAAGAGAGCAGGTTGGTATCCTGCTCAGTCACACAGCTAAGTGAGAGAGGTGGGATTTGAACACAGGCAGTTCATCCAAGCTCATTATTTCAATAGAAGCTGTATGAGAAAATTCATGGGCAAATTCTTTCTTCCTTTAAGTGCCTAGGTACAGATATGACCTGTTCTGTAACTTACTCTCCACGCTTCAGGCTGGATAGCTATAGAATGATTTGCTTGGGTAAAATGTTTATATTCTTCATGAAACTATAACTTGGAACGCGGTCTTTTAAAAAGAGGCAGGGCTCTCTTTGGAGAGGAAGTCCTTTTCCTCAGTTCCTCCCTTACCCTGCTTACATTCTTTCCTTTGTTGGCTTCACCCTTTAAATCCCTCTTTCTGCTTCATCTCCAGCACGGAAGTGTTGACACTTCTACCCCACAATAGGGAGGATGCCAAACAGAGATTCTCAGGTTTTGCAGAACAAGTTTCGGGACTTCAGATTTTATACCTTGGCCTATTTTTGCTACCTGATTCATTGTGATGAATTGCAGAAAATGGGTTTGTTTTTATCGGCACAGACCTGGGGTCACCCACAGTCAAACGACTTCCTATTTAAGGAAAAGTCCCAGCTCACTTATCTCATGTTCCATCTTTCCTTGTGGGTGATTTGTAATTTTCTTTCACTTTGAACAAAGACAGAACCAAGCAGGAAGTATTGGGAAATGGCTTTGTGTACTGTTTCCTGGTCCCGACACAAGGAGACAAGTACCAGCACTAGCAAGGTATCTAAGCATAGTCATCTTCTAATGTTTATGGTTGAGCATCCAAAGAGCACAGGTTGAAAAAAAACCTCATTTCCCAAGGAGTTTACAATACCACAACTCTATAAAGATTGAAGGCCAGTTTTCAGTACTTCTCATCATGGAGCTCAGTGCCTGAGAACCAGCTTTGGTGTGAACTAAGGCGAGGTGTCTTCTGCTTAAAAAATGAGAATCCCAGTGGTTCCTGCCTTATGAGGGTCACTGAGGTTTAGGAGAGCCTGGAGGAGGGAGCACAGTGCCACGTGCAACTAGGTGCGCGGTACATAGTCACAGCGTTACCTCCTGAGACAGAACCAGGGAGCATTTTTAAACAAGATGTTTTGACTTTCGCATGTATATATTTGTAAACAATTCAGTTCAGTAGCTGAAAATGCAAAGGCTTGTTTAAGTACTCCGGCCTTCAGTCTGTGAAGATACTGAGGCTCCTGCGGCTTTACCCCTGTTAGCCTTAGGGCTGTTTCTTTCTTCACGTTGCCTGGAGGAAGTCTGTGTCTGGGACCTCTGAGCTGAATTTCTGCCCATGTCTCATAGAGCGAGCAGCTCAGTGTATATTATTCTTCTCACTTTGTGATGATAGGTTTGCCCTTTTATTCACAACTAAGTGATAAAAGAAATGGGGCAGGTGAACTTTCCAGACAGTTTTTTTGTGTGTAAATTTGTACTTGTGCCACTAGATGTATTTAGTCTTTTTGTTTTACGCCATGGTTTCTGTCCGCTGAGTAGGTCTCATGTTACCGGCAGAGTGGCTCGTGGTTCATCATCTTAGTAAATAACCTGAATCTCACTGTTAGTGTCTGTGTAGACAAATGAGTAGTAAACTCAATTTAATTTGCTATTCAGCAGTATCCTTTCTAATAAATTTAACTTTTGAAGTCAAATATTTAAAATGTCACAGGACAAAGAATAATGGCATTACAAATGTCATAAATTTTTTTGTCATAAATTGTCATAAATGTCATAAATTGTTTTGAGGATAGGAGGGAAGATATTTCAAGGTATTTTTGAATTGTACTAAAGTCTCTTATTTTATAAGTAAGCATTTTCTGTATTAGATTGGTACGTTGGATCACTTGTATTGCATGGCAAACCTGATGTAAAGGAAATAATAGTTTTAAATGGCTACTTCAGATTTCAAGCTTAAAAACATCTAGGAAACATAGCTTCCCACTTTCTAATAGGCAGGAGCAGTTTGCATTAAACTTTTCCATTTAAGAACTAAAAAGTGCTATTATTCACAAAATTAGGCTTAGTCTGTGTCAGATTAATTTGTAATGTAAATATAATTTAAGAAACAAGATGCTGATTTTCCTGTGTGGCATCATAACAGTAATATGTTTCAAGGATAGAAATAACTTGAAATCTACTGCTGGTTCAAAATCCCTTATTTGCAATCCAAAAAGCTCTGAAAACTGAAAGTTATTATCATGACTCATTTGGCAGGATATTCTGCCCTGAATTGACACAAAGCTATTCATAGCTTTTATTTATCCAGATCAGTGTAAATGTACATGTTTCGGTGCAGAAATATTATAGTGTTAGATTAAGAGTTTCTACCTAGATACTACTGGAGAGTGTCACATCCCATATGGTATATGCATCATACTAGCTTTCTAAAATGCAAGACGTTTTGCATTCTGAAACATTCCTGTCCCAAAGATTTCGAGTAAAAGAGGGTAACCTGTTTCAGTCCAGGTAGCCACTGTTGCCAGAGGATTCTCGCTTCCTGGTTTTTCTAAGGACAGACAGCTCCTCTTTATATCTGTTTTCAGGATAACCACTAATAAGGTTCCATCCTCATTCAAAAGTGCCCCATTTTGTCCAGTCAGTTATATGATCACCATACTGCCCACACATGAAATCTTGGAAATGGGCGTTGTGGTGTTGGTGACTATCTATACATCACAGTGAATTCCTATTACAAAACTTTGAAATAAAATAAGATTTCAGAGTATGTTTTGCAAATCTAAAATAATTTAAAGCATTGTTTATAAGAAATAATTTAAAAAATATATATACCACTGCCTTCCTAGGTAGAAATTCCCACAACATATATTTCTTTTTAGGGCAGTTGATTTTCTTCATTGCAGTTGCTGGTGTGTGAGCCTTTTCTAGCTTGTCTACATGCTTCCTTTCTGTTCCCTCTTTGCTTGTCGTGATGACCAATGTATATGTTTATAGCAGTCCTCACTTATCTGTGGAGATTCACAGTGGATACCTAAAACTGTGGATACTAGCCAGCCTCCTGTACACTGCTTTCTGATACATGCATATATGTGATAAATTGTATTTATGAATTGGTACAGTAAGAGGTTAGCAATAAGAATCATAAAATAAAATAAAACAGTTGTAACAATGTACTGTAATAAGAGTTACTGAAAACTTATAAATTGTTTATTTCTGGAATGTTCCATTTAACGTTTTCATACCTTAGTTGACCTCGAATGACTCTTAACATGGAAAGTGAAATTGCAGATGGAAAGGAGAGAGTTTGTAGTGAGTTACTGTCTATTTATTTTAAATATTTATTGAGAAATGGCCTTTGACGTACTTTTAGCCCATGCCTCATATGGAGTCAGACTGTGGAACAAAACAGGATTGATTTGATCTTTGTGGAGATTCTTGTTTAGTGGGGCAGACAGATTTGGGGACCTGGCTCAGCTTCCCTGCTGAGGAAGTGATTTTGAAGCTAAATCTTAAAAATGAATAGAAATTAGTCAGAGAAACAGGGCAGAGGCCTTGAGGCAGCTGCTGGTGGAGTTTATGGGTGCACACAGCAGAGCCTGAAGAAGGGAGCCTGTTCACCTGGCAAGACAGAGCCTCAGCAGTAAATGACAAGGTCCTATTTGTGTTTTAAAGAGAGTGTCCTGGCTGCAGGGCCAGCACTCAGGCAGGGCTGGGGTGGCAGAGGGCAGTCGGGATGGCTGCTTGCTACAGTCTTTGTGGAAGGAATTAATTGATCATGACCACTGGTTTCACTTTCTATTCATACAGTGTCTTAGCTGTTGTCTTGGACAATAGTTGTGTGTGCTCTGCTTGGTACTCTTAAGAGTAAAAGCAGTGACTTAAGTTTTAAGCCAGGCTAAGGCAAGTAGGGCTGAAGATTTATTCGAGTTTTGACATTTCAGGAGGAATTGTGAGAAACAAAAAGCAAAAAACCCTTACTCATGATGGGTCTTTCTTGAGCCAAGCGCCTGAAAGATTAAAAAGTGGAAATTGTTAATGGGTAGAAAGTGAAACTATGCTGGGAATGCTAGCTTTGGGAGCTCTGGTGACAATTAGGCACTATCTGGATTCCCCGTTCAGAACTCAGTGGTGTGGAGGCCTCTGAAGGGTGAGAATCTCAAAATACGCAAGGAGTTGGGGGGGGGGTGTCTCTTGCCTTTACTTTGATTACACCTTAATCTATGAGGTGAGGCAGTGCTGCTGGGGAATCAACTTTGTGTTTTAAATTTTAAATAACCTCATTTAAATATTCACACAGAAGCTGACTGGAGGTGAGTCTTTGGTGCCTAAATTTTAGAGCCCTCCATAACGTGTGCTGGCCAGCTCTCTGGTGGTATCAGTTTTAGTTTACTACACAGCCTAAGAGTTTGCATGAATTATGGACCATCATTGCCCATCTTCCCCAGGAAGTGGGGAAGATTCTCCTTATTCAAACAGTTGTGGTTGGATTGAGAAGCTGCTTGTGGATGGATGGGTAAGTGATTGGTGTATGTACTAAATGGGATCCTGGTGCCTGATTAGGAATAAACTCCCAGCGTTCAATTTAAGGACAATGAAAGCCCTTTTTTCAAGGTTGTATTTGTAGGAATGCTGTAGCCTCCCCCCCATCACATATTTTTCTATTGTCTTCTTGAGAAATCTTTTTCTTTTGAATTAATTTCAGACTTTCACTAAAGTTGTGAGACTAGTACAAAGAATTTTTCCTTGAACCCTTGAGGAGTAACTTGCCCACACTAACGTCCTGTCTGTTGTGAATATTTATGTGTGTCTTTCTTACAGCAGGGACACTTTCCAACACGACCACAACAGAACAGAGTCGGAGAATAAGGCTGGCAGTTGGTACCACTAACCCTTGGACTTCCTTGGAGTTTGGCAGGTATCTCAGTAGTGCCCCCTGGGCAAGAGTCAGCTCCAGGACGAAGCATTGCGCTGGCCGTCCCGACTCTAATCATTCCTTAGTGTTGGTCTTGACATTTTTTGACCATTGCAGGCCAGTTACCTTATTTTTCAATTTGGTCTTCGTTGGTTGTTTCTTTGCGATGAGAGGCAGGTCATCTTTTTTTTTTTTTTCAAGAATATCACAGGCTCTTACATTCTCATGAGTTGTTTATGACTTTGATGTTCATTTGATAATTTGATGAAGGAGGTATCTGTCAGGTGTCTCTGTAGAAAGTTACGCTTTCTGTCTTTTGAATAAAAATATTTTGTGGGAGGTGTTTTGAGATTACATAAGTATTGCAGTCATATAATTTCTCAGCAGAGTTGTGCGTAGTCTGTTGGTGTTTCTTAACTAAATAATTACTGCTTTGGTAGCTACTAAAGGTCCATCTTCTAATTACAATTCCCTCAATTTTTATATTTATTAAATTGGCATTCTCCCTGTGGAAAGGCTTTCCCTTTTTGCTTCCTTATTCGTGGATCCCCATGTTTTAATCTTTTTTTTCTTTAGTAATGGGAATTGAACTGGTAGCCTTCATACTGAGCTACATTCCAAGCCTTCAAGTCACTGAGTTGTCTGAGCCAGGTTCAAACTTGAGACCCTTCTGCTTTGGCCTCCCAGATATGGAGATCACAGGCATGTGCCATCATACCCAGCTCATTATCTATTTTGATGCTCAAATTCTGTGACATTCCATCACTCCCTCAAGTTGGGGGTGTCCTGTGAATATGTTCCCCAAATCTTTTAAGGACCTGCTTACTTTATGGCCCCAAATTAGTGGGTAACCATTCTGGTTCAGGCTGGTCTTTGGCTTTCCCTGTCCTAGTCTTGAAATTGGCCATAAGACTGCTGGGCTCCTCTCTGGAAAATGGAATGGGATTTATGGTAGAAACTAGGATTTGGGTACCACCTATGCCTGTTGCTATTTGTCTGTGAGTGGCCATAGACTTACACATATTTTTTGTATCTATATTTATTTCTATATTGAGATAAATGAAAAACTATGAGTTCAGACCTATTGCTTGAACCCTAACTGGCCACCCTGGATGATGCTGGTTTCCTTTCTTTGTGCTATATCTCTTTCCCCAACAGTGAGAAGCCTGACTCCCATTGCGTAGCTACTCTGTTGCCTGCCTGTACCCAATCTCACATTCCCTTGGCTGCCCCTGTCAGGGAGGATGCCCTCCTCACCTCCTCTCCGCTGGTCCCTGCCTCTGTGCAGGGCTGCTGGCTGCCTGCACGAAGCCCTGCTGCTCAGCTCTGGGCTGCCTTCCTCTACCTGTACCTGGCCTCGCTGCCCACAGGGCCTCGGTGCTCTGCCTGCAAGGCTCTGCTGAGACTCCTCCCACATGATGGGCACTTTCTGTGTGTCACACACCTGCCTCTGCCTTCTCACCACACCATGTCTACTCTGTTAGATTCCTACAGCAGCCATAACAAATCCCACAAACTGGGCAGCTTAAAACAACAGACGTTTATTCCCTTACAGTTGTGGAGGCCAGAAGCCTGAAATCAGGTGCAGGCAGAGTTGGTTCCTTGTGGGGTCTCTGAGGGACAATTTGCTGTGGTTTTATCTGTCTCTTTTGGCCTCTTGTGTTTGCTGGTAATTCTAGGCATTCTTTAGTTTGTAGATGAATCCTTCCTATCTGTGTCGCTGACTTCAGATGTTAGTCTTCTTTTGGTGTCCAGGTTTCCATGTTAGAAGTATGTCGATCATGATCAACCTAGCAGCAGTTGGCGCTCAGAACACACCACCTCAAACTATGACTCTAGGAGTCGGAATGCATCACCCTAAAACACACTTTGTGTTTCAAACTCATTATTCTAGGACACTATAGATAAAGGAATAGATTTGGGAAGTCATGCTTTGAGTTAAAAGGTGGCATCTACAAAGGAAATTGGCTGGATGTAGTGGTACATACCTGTAATCCCAGTACTCGGAAGGCTGAGGCAGGCAGAACGCTGCAAGTTAGGGGTAAGCCAGGGGTTACATAGTGTGTTCCAGGCCAGCCTGAACTGCATAGTGAAGCAAAGAAATAAATCTATGTTAGTAAAAATATTTGTGTCTGAATGATGATTGCTCCAAATTCATTGTCCGAGAGACAATAAATGCATAGGAAGACAAACCTTGTGTGATCCCCGTAACTTTTGTAGCTACTGCCCTCCAGAAGGTCCCAGACTCTGTTCCTTTCTGTAGCCCAGAAGGCTGTATCAACCTCTGTCATCTGCCTCTTCTTCAAGTCTCACATCCAGGGGACTCACTGCACATTTAAGTACTTAAGTATGGTTTCTCTCATTAATCTGTGTCATGTCCCCTTAATTCACAGCCTGTTCCGAGAACCAGCACAGGTAGGAGGAAGCATTTCTCCTTCCTCTGAAGGCCCATTGTGAACCGGCTTCACTTCAACTTGTTGACATTTGCAGAGGCCTCATGAAGACAGCAAGGGAGAAAGACAAGATAGAGGGAAGCTCTCTCAGTTGTTTTGAGAAGAATGTTCTTCTTTTCAGATTGTTCTTATTTTTGGATAAAAATTAGAGGAGATTGGCAAATTCAAGTCCTACCTGGGCAATTTAGTAAGACCCTGTCTCAAAGTAAAGAAATATGAGGGCCGAGGATGTAGCACAGTGGTAGAGCTCCCCTGGGTTTGGTCCCTATTCCTGTAAAAAGTATCAGGGTACTCTATTGACATGAGGACTGTCTTGGAAAACTTGGAACTAACAGTGAAACTTTACTGCCCAGGATTCCTGTGCTGTGAAGCCCCTCTGGCTCTCCAGGAAACAGGTTTACCTTCTATGCATGCCTCACTAGGATTGGGGTATATTCCCCCCCGCCAACAACCCCAGCTGCCCAGTCTTGGGCTCCGCGGTCAGCCAGGTGCATGCCCTGGGTTCTACAAGTGGCATTTGCTTGGAGCACTTGTGGATAGACAAGCTATCACAAGCCCTATTGGGGAAAGGTCTGCCATGTGGGGAAGCCACTCATTGCATGGCTGGTAGTTTGCACTGGTAGCTCGGGCAGTGCACTTTATTGCCTGATGACTGATAACCTATCTCTTCCTGTGCTTTTTTCCCCATTTTTATATTCTGAGCATTCCCATACAAATTAAATACTTTTCTATTATCCCAGTAGTCCATAAGTTTTATGCCTGCACAAGTTATTATTAGTTTGCAATTATTGATCAGATCAGACTAGGCACTTTATGTTTCCTTGTTTAATCCTTATCACAGACTCTGAGAAAGCTATCCCCATTATCCAGCGGAGAAAACCAAAGCATAAAGTATTTTGGGTTCTGCTATCCTGTACGTCTGTTCTTGAAGTATACCTTGAGAACTGGTTATGGTTACCCAGACTGCCACCACTCCTAGACCTCAATAGCTTCTATAGTTGTGGAGAGAGTGGAGGAAACCAGGGAATCTCTGAGTTTCTTAAGGGAGAGGGAGGTTGATTTCAGGTCACAAGTCCCTGATCCTTATCTCATGTAAGATTCAGGGATAAAGATACGGCATAGCACATGTTCATTCCTTGCTCACTTATGATGGGCACAAGAGCCCAAGGGCACTTCCCTGGTCACAACACTGCCTATTTCTGGGTATCTGTGCTGCCCTGGAGCCATGATGTCCATCAGACCTCGAATGCTGGACAGTGTCCTACATTGTGGCCACCATCCTCCTCCATGACAAGGTCATATTGGGACCCTGTGGAGTCATGATGGCTGTTAAGAAGTTCAACTAGTAACTAGCAAGAGCCAGACAAGATTGACTGTCACTAACATCCAAATATTTCTTAGCGGTATCCTTAGTAAGGGTTGTAGTAGCAGTTGAGTCTACATTGGTCAGGGAAAACTTGGAAGAGTAGGTTCTCAACTGTCCCCTGAAAGCTAAGAGAAAAATGACTTGATATTGAGTGTTACAGGACAAACAGGACACTGGGAGATTTAAGTAGGGCAAAGCAGAGTTTTTGGGCTGAGGAGTTTGGCATTCCTAAGAGGTTCTGATATTAAAAGAGATTATTTTCCGAGTGGGAAGGAAAATGGCCTCATGGCTCAGTGTTTGCTCTTCATGTGCACTGACATGCAGGAGGTGGAAATGGACAAATACTAAAAGTGCTCAGTGCTTTTGTGGTTTTCAGAACCTTAAATAAATATGAATGTGAAATTGACACGAAGGTAGTAAAACATTAGCTTTCTGTGGGACTTATTTGTGTTCCCAAAATAGTTTTCTAGGTTAATCAGTAACAGGCCAGACAGGGCACACTTAACTTCTTCTGCTTTCAAAAGACCCCTCAAAGTCTCGGGTAGATGGCCATGCGTCAGACCTGGTGACCCTGTTTTGTGAAACAGAAACTCAAATGAAACAGAGAATATACCCAAGTGATGCAACAGGAAAAGTTCCTGCTGGTTGTTTCCTGTTGCTCTTAAAGAGGAGAAGGGGGAGATGGGTGGAGAGAGAAAAGTGCTTTTATTTTGGCATATGGGAGTGGAGAAATAATTGTTTTCCTAGTGTAGACTACAAAAATAAAGCTCAGGTTGGCTGGGATATTCAGTATGTTCTCCTAATTCCCTCTTATCTATCAGCAAGATAATGAAAGGGGTAGGAAGCATGGGCTTCTGAGCTGGGTAAGACAGCGTGGAAGACTGCTTGCTGGGCGGCAGGTCTCTCTGCCCCTCCCTGTGACCCCTGTAGCACTGGTCTCCTGTGTGAATACCGAGTTGGACAGAAGTGTGGGGGCCTCTGTACCTCTTAATGTGGATCTCATTAGGCTGGATGTTTGTACATCTTCCAAAAGCTAACTGAGAGCCCAGGACACTTGTTTAAATTACAGCTCTGCCACTCAGTAGTAACTCTGTGACCTTGGGCAAGTATTTAACCTTAAATGCCTCGGTTTCTTCTTCCACAATTGGGAACTAGAGCAGTTATCTATCCAATAGGGTTGATGT